CACATGCACACACACACACACACACACACGATGACTTTCCAAAACCACTGTACGCTAAACCCAAACTCCTCGAGGAGAGTCGCAGGCGACAGACTGACCTTGTGGTTGCGTCCGTGTTTGTAGAGCAGAGAGATGATGGTCTTGATGTGTCCTCTCTGGATGATGTTCAGAGCTTCTGGACTTTCAATCAGAATACAGTGAAGAACCTCCAAGATCCCTGAGACGGCAAGAGACGATCCGGGCGGAAGATTTACTTCCATTCAGATCAACACACTCTCATAATAGTCTAAACAGCGGTATTACCACAGAAATATACCATGGAAATCATAGAAATACCATGTTTTTCCTGACGCTACCATCATAAAACCACGTTATACCATTGTGTTTTTATACATAAATAAATAAATAAACAAATTTAATCATCATAAAACAAAATTATAAAAAATATAAATTAACAAAAATCGTTATATAGTTAATCACATACATAAATAAATACACTTATATTTCAACAGAATAAATAAATAAAAAACAAACAAATTTAATCGTCATAAAAACAAAAATATAAAAAATATAAATTAACAAAATATAATAAATAAATACATAAATAAATAAATGCGCACACTTATAAAAAATAATTTATATTTAACCATCATAAATAAATAGTTTTTGTTGTTGTTTTTACATCTCTGACCTTTTTTGTAATGGAATAGAAAGTTCAAAAGAACAGCATTTATTTGAAATAGAAATCCTCTGTAACATTAAAAATGTCTTTTCTGTCACTATTGATCAGTTTATTGCATCCTTGATGAATAAAAGTGTTGTATTTTTAAAAATTTCTTCCTGACCTCAAACTTAACACACCTTAAAGTGTTATTTACAGAAAAGCGTCTTTAGCTGTAATACCTGAAGACGACTCCAGTCTTGTGACAAATGAGGACATACATTTGTATAATGACAAAGGTATGACATAGGTATTACAAGGAGAAGGTGACTTTTCAGGACATTACCCCATGTCCCCACTTTTCAAAACGCTTATAAATCACACAGAATGGAGTGTATTGAAAATCTGAAATAGCACAAAGTTTCCTGTGAGGGGTAGGTTTAGGGGAGACATCTAAAGCATTCTGGAGTTGAGGAACGCTGCTCTATATGATATAGTGCTTGAACTAGACGATAATCTGAAAGTTTCCCACATTGGCAGTGAATGTTCGTTCAGGTTCAGGTTCAGGTTCTGGTTCAGGTTCAGGTTCAGGTTCTGGTTCTGGTTCAGGTTCTTACCCAGCAGCTCGTAGAGCAGGTTAAGAATGTCCTTCCACGCGCCTCCGGCCTCTTCACTCGCACACTCACCGAAATGAGCCGCGCTGTTATAAACGCTCAAGCGGTCGATGCAGCTGGACACCAGAGACAGCATGCCCTGACACACACACACACACACACATTACCCATAGACTTTTATCTGATGTCATTTTGTTTTTGAAGTAAATGTACTGGATTTAAGAATGGAAAACAAGACAAAAATACTGAGTAGGAATACATATTTGTGTTAAATGTATTTAAATAATAGTAACAAATTATTTATTAATTTCTTATTTTAGTTAAATATAATTATAAATATTTAAATAATAATAAAAACATTTATTTTATATGTTTTATATTTGTTAAATGTTAAATGAATTATTTAAATTTTACATTGTTAAATATGCTTATAAATGTATTCAAATAATATTAAAATGTATTTCATACTTTTGTTAAATGTATACATATTTTTTTAAATAAGCATTTATTTTATATTTTTGTTATATATTAAATGAATTTTTTTAATACATTTGTTAAATATATTTATAAATATATGTAATTTTTTAAAAAGCTTTTCCTTTTGAAATAGTTTTTTTTTTTACCTCACCTTTTATGCATAAACTTTTTCAGAAAACAAGACTTCTTATCTTACATAATTCTGCTTTTCAAGTAAATGTACTTGATTCAAGAATCATTAGATATTTGTACTGGAAAACAAGTCAAAAATACTGAGTAATATAATCACTTTTTGCAGTGTTGCATCAGGACTGCATCAATCGACTCACTTAACAAAATGATCTTAAGAGAAGATATTTGACACAGCTATAATTTAAATATGGTTACGTAACATAGAAGCAAAAGAAAACAATAAAGCTTTGTTGTGGTGACAGAAAATCAACAGTAAAATACATGATGCATCGATGCACTCTTTACAACAAAGGCTTGGCCGCAGCGTGTCGTCAGCTCACCTCCTGCTTGAAGAGGTTCTGTCGGTTCTTCAGGGAGCGCAGCTTGATCTGTTTCTTCTCGTGCTCCAGCTCGGCATCGGGAAGTCTGAAGTACGCGATCAGGTCGTTGAGCGTCTGGAGAACCTCGTCGATGGGCAGAACCACAGACGAGCGGTTCTTGGCGCTCAAACCGTCGAGCTCTCTGTCAAAACGGCATCAGAGACGTCTGGCATTAAAGACATGTACCTGTGCTTTCCTGTAGCTCCAACAGTAGAGCACTGAGCTAGCAACACAAAGGTCATGGGTTCGATTCCCAGGGAACGCATGAACTCATCAAATGCAGGCTTCGTCTGCCAAATGCATAAATGTTCACTGACCTAGTAATATTATCAATTTGATAGCACTGACATTATTGGATGAGAACCATACGGACTGAATTGATCTGAATAATGTCTTCTGTAGAGCTGCTTTACAGCTAAAATTGAATTCGTTTTCATAATTGATGAAATACTTCCCTGTTTATTTCTGTAAAGCTGCTTTAAAACGATCTGTATTGTATAAAGCACTATAGAAATAAGTGTGACTTGACCTGCTTTGATCTGAACCCATTTCCTGGGAATCAAACCCACAACCTTCATGTTGCCAGCGCCATGCTTCACTAATTGAGAGCTTTAAAAACAGATTTAAAACTAGTGATGGACTGATATATTGGCCAGGTGATGCTGTTTATAAAACATTCTCTTACAGAAGAAACTTGTGGGGGGAAAAAACACAACATCTGTGACCATCTCAAACATATGGAAGCTTGTTTATGGAGCTAATTTTGTGCCAATATTCATCAAACAAATCCAGCGTTTTGCAAATAAACACAATCTGCTTTGCAAAAAAAAAACTCGACATTCAAAATAGATATTGTACTAAATAATGTGATTTGTTGTAAATTTTTTATTAATAATTAATGACCTCTTGGGTAATATTACAATATCTGATACTAAATTAAATTGTCTAAGCTTTCATTTTTGGTAGACAATATTGTCGCTATCCACAATACATTTGCATTTTAGTATTACAATATATTGTGACACGATATATTGTTATACCCCTGCATTGTTTTGAATGTTGAAAAATTGTATCAACATATGCAGCCCATATATTCTATATCCCGCGATCCAACGGAGGATAAGAGGTACGGAGAATGGATCAGTTTTTATGGGGAAAGACTGCCTAGTTAAATGTTTAGCCATGTCACTACTGATTTTTGAACTAATCAATCGTGTTAACAACTTTACAGCACTTATTGTGAATTTCACTGACACTGTAGTAGGGTCGCTTTGTTAAAACATCTATATGGTTAATTATAGATATAGTAAGACATAAACTTACCTGTTCTCCACACATGTTGGTCTGCTGTATTCCGTGAAAAGGTAAAGAGGTGTTTTGGGTCTCGGGAAACTAGCGTAAATTGACCGACAGCGCCATCTACTGTTTTTGGAAAAGGAAGTTGCTCAATTGCATTTGTGAGAAAATCTGCCTGCAAGCATTTGTGAGAAAATCTGCCTGCACGCATTTGTGAGAAAATCTGCCTGCACGCATTTGTGAGAAAATCTTCCTGCACGCATTTGTGAGAAAATCAAGCCAAGTTTCCTCATAAAAAGGCAAATGAGTCTCACAGTTGTAACACACAATACATATATTTGTCCATACCTCTGCATTTTCTCTCAAATAGAGTTTTGTATTTGCAAATCACTTTGCGTTTGTTTGAAATTCGAGTTTTTCTTTGCAAAGCAGATTGTGTTTATTTGCAAAACACTGGATTTGTTTGATGAATATTGGCACAAAATTCGCTCCACACTTGTTTCCAGATTTAAAAAACGGGAGACATAAAACTCAGAATTCTGAGAAAAACGTAAAAATTATGCTGTATGAAATTGCGATATGTAAACTGAGAATTGAGAAAAAAATGTCAAGTTCGTAAGACGTAAACTCAGAATTCTAAGAAAAACGTCACAATTGTGAGATGTCAACTCTGAGATAAAAGGTCAAAATCGTGAGACGTAAAGCTCAAAATAGCAAGAAAAATTGTCAAAATTACGAGATGCAAACTCAGAATTATGAGAAAAAATGTCAAGTTCATAAGACGTAAACTCAGAATTCTGAGAAAAACGTCAAAGTTGCAAGACGTAAACTCAGAATTGCAAGAAAAAAATGTCAAAATTGTGAGACGTAAACTTAGAATTCAGAGAAAAAAACGTCAATTGTGAGTTGTAAACTTAGAATTGAGAAAAAAATGTCAAGTTCATAAGACGTAAACTCAGAATTCTGAGAAATGTCAAAATTGTGAGACGTAAACTTAGAATTCAGAGAAAAAAACGTCAATTGTGAGTTGTAAACTTAGAATTGAGAAAAAAATGTCAAGTTCATAAGACGTAAACTCAGAATTCTGAGAAAAACGTCAAAATTGAGACGTAAACTTAGAATTCAGAGAAAACATCACAATCGTGAGATGTCAACTCAGAATTCTGAGAAAAAAGGTCAAAATCGTGAGACGTAAACTTAGAATTTAGAGAAAAAAACGTCAATTGCGAGTTGTAAACTTAGAATTGAGAAAAAAATGTCAAGTTCGTAAGACGTAAACTCAGAATTATGAGAAAAACGTCAAAATTGCGAGACAAACTCAGAATTGCAAGAAAAAACATCAAAATTGTGAGACGCAAACTTAGAATTCCGAGAAAACGTCACAATCGTGAGATGTCAACTCAGAATTCTGAGAAAAAAGGTCAAAATCGTGAGACGTAAGACTCAGAATTGCAAGAAAAATTGTCAAAATTGCGAGACGCTAACTCAGAATTCAGAGAAAAAAGTCAAAATCATGACAAACTCAGAATTCTGAGAAAAAGTCATAATTGTGAGATGTAAACTTAGAATTCAGAGAAAAAGAAAAAAACAAAAAAATCGCAAGACGTAATCTCATAATTCATATGAAAAAAAAGAGACAGAACTGCGAGATATAAACTCTTTCTGAATTGGCAATTTTTAATTTTCCCTTTTTAATTGTTTGCTCCGTGGTTCCACTCAAACCCACCAGAGCCTCGGCAAACAGGAACAATCACAGGAGGCATGAAGCCAAAGAGGCCTGAAATGTGTCATGAAGAGCGCTTGTGTGACAGTAATGAGCTTCCCAGAATAACATGCAGCTTCCCGCTGACTGGATTCTGAGCCAAAACAGCATCGCTTATGTAAGATTATGAAACATATTTCCTGAAAACGGCCCGAGCGAAGAGCGGCACACGGTGCATCAGGAGCACGACTCCGTTCACTCACACTCAAGATGCATGTGAGAGCTAAAAATAGCCTGACAAGCGTGTGTTTGTGTGCACCGATGCACCATCTGGCAGGAAAATGAGTGAAACTTCATCAACTCATCACTATGACACGTCTGTGGAAGTGTTGAATGTGCTCCTAAACCACATGAGACTGCTTTAACTCTAATGTTGTGGTACCTGATGAAGCAGCTGAAGAGTCGCGTGGTGTTGCGGATGATTCGAGCGGCTCTCGACTCCTCGTGTTGACAGCGCTGTAACGTCAAACCATCATCCATGTGTCCTTCTGAATGAAGACACACCTGAGCAACAGACAAACACAGAACATGAGCTGAAACCAACATTTTATGAGCCTTGATTCACAAACTCTGGGTGTCAGCATGATAAAAATACTCCTCTGAATTAATATGAGCTCATAGAGTTGGAAGCAGAAGTAGAAAATGTTAATAAATTTTACTTGACTAGTTAGATTAGTACAGCATGACACACCAGAGGACACAGATGACACTGCTTGACTAAAGTCAACTACTCATCAGGGTTATTACAGGTAACTAAAATAAAAAAAAAGTAATTATTTGACATTAATTAAACATTAACTGAAATAAAATAAAATATATATAAAAAACTAAAATGAAAATGAATACGTAATAAATAGACATTTATATATAAAATAAATATATAAATCTACAACTAAAACCACAAAAAAGTCAGTAACTGATAAAATAAACATTAACTGAAATAAAATAAAATAAAATATTAAAAAAACTAAAACTAAAATAAAAAATTAATAATGATTATATAGACATTTTAAAATAAATAAACCTAAAATTAAAACCATACACACACACACAAAAAACATTTTCAGCAACTGAAATAAAATAACAAAATAAAATAAAATAATAAAAAAAACTTTAACTTATTTTATTTCAGCTAGTTGCCAAGGCAACATTTCTCATTTTCATTTAGTTTAACTTGACATACTAAAATAACTAAAACGGATAATCAAATCAATAAAAACTAAAACCACAAAAACATTTAATAAAATAAACATAAAATAAAAACGAAAAATGAAATAAAATAAACATCAACTGAAACTGAAATATAAAAAACTTAAACTTATTTTATTTCATATAGTTGCCAAGACAATATTTCTCATTTTCACAAACATTAAAAATATTTAAAAAGCATTTTCAGTAACTTCAATACAACAAACTAAAATAAAAATATATATAAAAAATTTATTTTGCATTTTGACTTATTGTCAAATTATTATGAATTTGTTAATAATTGTTATTATTATGACCTATTAATTTAACTTTAAGTACTAAAAGTAAAACTGAAAAAATAATTAAAAATAATTAAAAAAGAACTATTATAAAAAAA